GGAGGTATATTTTGTGATCTTCAGAAAGTGTTTGACTATGTCAGTCACAAAAAAAAAAATATACAAGTTAATATTTTATGGAATAGAAGGAAAATTTAAAACACTCATAGAATCTGATCTAATGGATAGATATCAGAAAGTTGTAATAGGTAACAGATTTGACTGCAGAAGCTCTTCTGAATGGGAAGTAATTAAGTACGGTGTTCCTCAAGGATCAATCCTTGGCCCATTTTTTTTACTACTTTATATTAATGACTTGCCTTCAATAATCAACAAAAACAATAATATAGTACTTTTTGCAGATGACACGAATATTATAGTAACTGACACAAACAAGCTCAGTTTTGAAATTAATCTTAATCAAACTCTTAAAGACATTGATGCATGGTTTAATGCTAATTTGCTCACTTTGAATTTTAACAAATCTCAGTATGTTGAATTTTGTTCCATGAATTATTGTAACATTACTTCCAAATTGTAGATGATCAAATTAAATTAATCAGGGCGTCAGAAACAAAATTTTTAGGTTTAATCATTGATGATACCCTCACATGGAAACAACATACTATGTTATCAATAAAATTTCAAGGTCATGTTATGCATTGCAAAATATAAAGCATTTTATTACATTAGATTCATTAAAGTCAATTTATTTTGCCCACATACATTCGATCTTAAGCTATGGCATAATTTTTTGGGGTGGCGCTTCCTGTGCTGGCAATGTTTTTATACTACAAAAGAAGGCTATTAGAATTATCATGAATTCTGGTTCAAGTGTCTTATAGACATTTATTTGAGAAGCTTGAAATAATGACATTCTGTTCTCAATTCATATACTCATTAATTTTGTTTACAATTACTAATAACCATCTTTTCAATTCTATTAATGAGATTCACAAGTATAAAACCAGATCTCTTAATAATCTCTGTTTACCTTCTGTAAACTTAACAAAATACAGTAAGGGTGCATATATAGCAGGTATTAAAGCCTTTAATCATTTACTTCAAGCTTTAAAAGGGTTGACTTCTGACGTGCTAAATTTTAAGAGAGCACTGAAGAGATTTTTACTTCATCACTCTTTTTATTCTGTGAAAGAATACTATCAACATAAGTGGTTATAATATGCAAACATATTATAGCTTTACAATTGTAATGTACTTTTAGTCTAGAAATCTGCAGCAGTCCCATTTAAGACATTAGGAGCAAGTGTTGGATTGGATTAATAAAATGAATATAGAAATTAGAATTTTGATAGTTTTAAATGTGTTTTGAAGTATATACTGTATGGATCTGTGGGAGTTAAATATGATGATGATATTATAAACATAATGTGTCATAGGTGTGTAATTTTGTGACTCTATTTGATTTAGTTAATATAGGTAATTTATATGAAATGGTGTAAATACAAGTTTTATAGTAAGTTATTTTTAAAGTATGTCTATTAACTGAAATCTTATTAAATTCTTATCTTACAATATTATTTATATTTATAGATTGATGTAAGTGACTTTGTTTGATTGACTCGTGCAATTTTGTATATGCATGCTGATGTATCTGTACTCAAAAGGACCATTTCCACATCCTGGTTTGTTACCCTGTATGGATATATATGGAAAATAAAAAATGAAATGAAAAAATGAAAAAAATAAGATGTAAAATAGTGATAAACTATAAAACAGTAGAACAGAAATCAAGAAGTTATTAAAATGTGTGTAGTGGAGGCATTTATTGGATCTGTACATTATTAATGAATCTCTTCTTTGCTGGTATCTGTTGGTGTATTATATATCTTTGGTATGTATATGGGGTTGGTCAGTCCAAGACTTTTTGTGTAAAAAAGTAAATATGTGGTTACAGCTTGTACAAGAGAGGTCACAAATGAAAGTAAAGTAGCTATAATTGATGTAATAGGTTTTCTATATGTATCACTAGGTAGCAGCACAGTATAGCTTCATGACAGTATAGCTAGCAGACACGCATGTGCATTCAGAGGCTAGTTTCAGTAGTCAAAATGGCGGAACCATGCTTGAGTGTGTAGTACCAAAGAGCAGCATTCTGTTGTCCCTTTTCTCTGGGCAAAAGCACCCAATGCAAAGGATGTTCATAAAGAAATGTTTCCTGTTTGTCTTCGGAAGTGTTTGTTGTGTGAAGCAGTTCACATCTGGGTCAAGACATTCTCTCAAGGACAATTGAAAGTTGCAGATGGTGCCCAACCAGGTGCAGTAGTGGTTGAGACAACAGTCAAAAGACTTCTAAGGTGCAGGTTTCAAAGCACTGGTAAAGTGATGGAACAAATGTGTCAATGTTGATGGAGAATATGTCAAGAAATAAAAGTTTTTTCCACTCTAAAATATCACATTTTACTTTTTGTAGCCATTTGTGACCTATTTATTGACTCTCTCTTGTATATTTCATACTAGATGTGTATTTGATATTGAGGTTGTATTATAGTTCATATATGAAGGTGTTTTCATGTGGATATATTGATGCTCAGCTTTGAGTGATCTGTATGTTGGTTTTGTATGGTGTGCTTGAGGTGGGGTGAGAGTCATCTCTCAGCATTCAAATATTCACCTCCTCCATACCCCCATACACACACAGTTTGGCCTCCCGTTCGGCCTGCACAGTTGAAGACTGAAAGGCAAAACTGATGTGTGTGGTGCGGCCAGCCGGCCAATCGTTTGGACTGTAGGAAACCTGTCAGTCCATCAGTTCTACCTGCAGGATGTAGCACGTGACGTGTGTGACTCAACAATATGGGCTGGAAGACCGCAGCCTGCCGGTTTATCTGCGCGTGGATGGGGAAGGAAAGGGAGAGGCCAAACTGTGTGTGTATAGGGGGCCTTAGTCACAACATATGAGACCAACCTGCAGATCGCACAAAGCTGAGTATCAGTTTACCCACAAGAGAAGCCTTCATACATAAACTACAATACAAGCTGAATATCAAATATACATCTAGCCACCAATTATACAAGCAGTAAGCACGTATGTACTTACAGGAAGCAAAACTTCTAGGATTGACCAATCACAGCACATCCTCACATACTACACCAACAGACACCAGCAACAAAGAGATTCATTAAAAATGTACACACCCCATCAACTCCTCAATTACACCCATTTTACTAACTTTATTTGATTTGTTTGACTAACACATCATAACATAGACATACCAGCAATTTAATTATAAATAT